AATTAAAAATAAGATTATTAAAAAACAGCTAGAACATAGTTAGGGAACTGCCGGAAGTTCAATCAAGATTTAAAAGAGGCTGTGCCACCAGGGATATCATTGCTGATGTCAGAAGGATCCTAGCTGAAAGTAAAGAATACCAGAAGAATGTCTGCTTTATTGACTATGCAAAGCCATTTAACTTTGTAGATCATAGTAAGTTATAGCTAACATTGAGAAGAATGGGAATTCTAGAGCACTTAATTGTGTTCATGCAACATCTTTACCTAGACCAAGAGGCTGCTGTGTGGACAGAACAGGTAACACTACATGGTTTACAATTAAGAGGGGAGTGAGTCAGGGTTCAGTCTATATGCTGAACAAATTATTCAAGAAGCTAGATCCTTTGAAGAAGATTATGTCATCAAAATAGGAGGGAGACTCAAAAATAACCTGAGTTATGCAGATGCTAGAACCTTTCTTGCTGAAGGTGAGGAGGACTTGAAGCACTTGTTGCAGAAGTTCAAAGAATACAGCCTTCAATATGAATTTCCTCTCAATGTCAAGAAAACAAAAATTCCTATCACTGGACCGACAGGCAACATCAAGATGGATGGAGAAAAGATTGAAACTGTCAACAACTTTATCTTACTTTAATTTACAATTAGCACACTTGGTATATGCAGTCAGGAATTCAGGAGATGTATTGCAATGGGAAAGGCTGGAATTAGGGACCTCTCAAAATTATTGAGGAGTAATGATTTCATTTTGAGGACTAAGGTGTGTCTGATTAAGACCATGGGCTTTCCAATCACTTGCTAGGCATCTGGGAGCTGGACAATGAATAAGGATGACAGAAAAAGACTTGTTGCCTTTAAGCTCTGGTATTGGAGAAGAGTACTGAACATCCCATGGACTGTTAAAAGAACAAACAAATATATACAGCCAGAGCGCTCCTTGGAGGCAAAGATGATAAAGCTTTGCCTTACATACTTTGGGCATGTTGGTTAGGAGGGGCTATTTCTTGAAAAGTGACATGATGCTCAAAAAGTCAGAGGGTCAGCAAAGTACAAGACCCTCAACCAAGATTGACACATTGACTGCCACAGTGGACTCCAGTATGTCAGGAAGTATAAGGGTGGCACAGGTTGGAAGAGGGTTCACATCTCTTGTTCATAAGGTTGGTATGAGTTGCTCTCAACTCAACAGCACCTAACAGTAACAACATGTGAGAGATAAGGGTTTGATTTCTAGCCAGTACACCTTATATACAGCGATTACCCATTTGCCAGTAGATACTCATGTATTGCTGTGATGGTAAAGAATCTTCAAATACTCATGGAGAAGACATCCGACCAAACAACATTATATTCTGTTGTACATGAGGTTACCATGGTTTCATGGCAGCTGACAACAAGAAAGATGTGGTAGTTCTGTGGTAGGCTTCTCACTTTCTGAGTAGGAGACCTGGGCTTAATTTCCAGCCAACACATCTTTACACAATCTTCTGTCTGTCATTGGAGCTTCCAGACTATGATGGACTAGGAAGAAAAGCCTAGCAATCTGCTTCTGAAAGTCAGCCAGTGGAAACCTTATGGGTCACAGTGATAATTATGATTCTAGTCCACAACCATGGGAAAGAAGACTCAGGACATGGCCACTTTCTCATGTCATTATGTGGTGGACCCCAGTGTCTTGAGGGCTGATTTGCCAGTAGCTAGCAATAGTAATACCACTCCATAACTAAACATTTTTTTTTTAGTTTTATTATTTTGTGTGTGTGTACCGTCAGATCTGACTGGTACAGGAGGAGATTGTTCCTCCTTCTCCAGCAAAGCATCTGGTATAACTAAACATTTTAAAAAGAAAGTCATACATATGTTTATTAATACAGAAGGCAAATTGAAACACTACGAGATTTATGAATATAATAGAATTGCTTTATGGTTTGTAGGCAAACAAAAATTTGAATAATTTCATTTCACACAGAAAGCACTTGTACTTTTTTGTTCCGAACAAAATCTGCATCTGTTAATATGCATAACTTAGCCCACTATGCACTGAAACTTACATTGTCTGGTGCTACAACTTAACAGTTGAATATTTGTTATTCTTTTTTCATACTGTTTAATTTATACACTGCTCTCTGGGATTGACTGAAATTAAGAATTTATTTAAATTTGAATACAATATAAATAATTTATAGTAAAACAAAATACCTACTATATATGTGGCTCCTGAACTGGAACATTTTCATAGTATTTTTAATGAATTTTCAATTAATTTTTTTTTAAGAAATCAGATTTAAGAAACAACTATAAAATTTTAAAGGAGCTCTGTTAGCCAAGGGAATCCTGTTGGCTTGGTGGGTGAACTAAGGAGTTGAACTGTCAACCCAGAGTTACACAATTTGTATTCACTAGTTGTACCATGTGATTTAATTCCTCTGAAGACCCACTGGAGGGTCAGCTATGAATTGACTTGAACTTGACAATATATAACAATTGGTAGCCTAGTAGTAAGAAGTTGTGCTGCCAATCCGAAGGTAGTCGGTTTTGAATCCACCAGTTGCTCTGTGGGAGAGACAGTCTTCTCCTATGTGATTTATAGTGTCTGAAAATCTACTGGAGGGTTAGCTATGAGTTCATTCTGAGTTGACAGCACAAAGCAATAACAAAAAACCCCCTTTTAAGCCTGTTGCACCATTTATTTTTGTTTGAGCTGTGGTAAAACAGACTGAAAAACAGTTATTCAATGTTTTTATACTTCATACCTAAGGAGCTCTGGTAGCCTTGTGGATAGGGAGTTGTGCTCCTAACCTTAAGGCATTCAGTTTTAATCTGCCAGGCGCTCCTTGGAAGAAAGGTGGGAAATCTCTTCCTGAGTAATTAAAAGCTTCTAACACCTACTGGAGGGTCAGCTAAGAGTCAGTTCTGGTTCAGTGGCATACAGTAACAACTTAGTTGAATTAACAATCATGCTTGGATTCCGTAATATTTTTTCCATTTGTACATAGTACTCCATCATAGCACTGTTTCATTACCCCTTAGGACCTACAACATGCAACTCATTTCTAATCAAGACATCTGAGTTGCATGAATTTTAAAAAGCCAGATATTTTTTTATTAGTATGATTTTCATAATATTTGTACTTGATAAATTTCACACCTCAAGTTGCCATAATCAGGGATGCTTTAGGCAGAATATTAAATGATCCAGGAAGTTATTAAAAGAAGATGGAAAGAATATACTGAGACACTGTATCAAAAGGAATTGGCAGACAGAGAAGCATTTAATGAAACAACATAGAGCAAGAGCCTATGGTGATAAAGGAAGAAGTTCAAGCTGCTTTGAAGGAAATAGCAAAAAATAAGGCCCCAGGAATAAATGGTATACCAACTGACATATTTCAGCTAACAGATGCTGCCCTGGAAGTGCTCACCAAGTTGTGCCAAGAAATCTGGAGAACAACCACTTGGCCAACTGACTGGAAGAGATCTATATTTGTTCCCATTCCAAAGAAAGGTGACCCAACAGAGTGTGGAGACTATAGAACAATATCGTTGATTTCACATGCAAGCAAGATTCTGCTGAAGATTATCCAAAAACTACTGGAACAGCACATCAGCAGAGAACTACCAGAAGTCCAGGCTGGGTCATGGTACTAGGGATATTGTAGCTAATGTTAGCTGGATCTTGACTGAAAGCAGGTAGTACCAGAGGAATGTCTATCTGTGCTTCGTTGATTATGCAAAGGCTTTTGACTGTGTGGACCATACATAACAAACTGTGGCTGACTCTGAGAAGAATGGGAATCCCGGAATACTTGATCGTGCTAATGCGAAACCTATACTTGGACCAGGAGGCAGTTGTCAGAACAGAGCAAGGAAACACTGCATGGTTCAAAATTGGTTAGGGCATACGCCAGGTATATATTCTGTCTCTATACCTTTTCAACCTGTATGCAGAACAGATCAACCGGGAGGCTGGGCTCTATGAGGAGAAATGCGGCATCAGGATTGGTGGAAGATCTGTCAACAATCTGCATTATGCAGATGGCACAACCTTGCTTGCTGAAACTAAGGAGGACCTGAAGTGCTTGCTGCTGAGGGTCAAGGACTGCAGCCTCCAATATGGATTGAGGTTCAATGTCAAGAAGACGAAGATTCTCACCACTGGACCAATTGGCAGCGTCAGGATGGATGGTGAAGAGATTGAGATTGTTCACAGCTTTAGTCTGCTTGGCTCCACAATCAACACTCTTAGCATCAGCAGCCAGGAAATTAAATTAAATGAAAAGACATATTGCTATGGGAAAGTCTGCTGTTAGAGACCTCTCTAAAGTACTGAAGAGCAAAAGAGTCTCTCTGGAAACTAAGGTGCATCTGATACAGGTCATGGTCTTTGCAATCACTTGTTATGGGTCAGAGTTGAACAATGACTAGGGAAGATAGAAGGAGAATTGATGCCTTTGAACTTTGGTGTTGGAGAAGAGTATTGAGGGTACCATGGACTTCTAAGGAAACAAATAGATTCATCTTGGAGAGGGTTGAACTGGGCTGCTCCTTGGAGGCAAGGATTCTGAGGCTTAGTCTGACATACTTTGGTCATGTTGTAATGAGAGCCTGGCCCTTGGAGAAGGACATCATGCTTGGGAGGGTGGAGGGACAGCGCAGGAGGGGAAGGTCCTCTGTGAGGTGGATTGATTCGGTGACTGGGATAATCGGGGTGGGTATGTCAGAGGCAGTGAGATTGGCACAGAACAGAACAGAGTTTAGGGCTGTTGTACTACTCATAGGTCGCTGTGAGTCGCAAGCGACTTGATGGCATATAACAACAACAATAAGTTGAAACTAAGGTATATTAAAAATGGGACTTTTAATTATTCTCAGCTCAGCATGAATAGGACTTGAATGTTTATATTTGGTAATTTGTAATTATTTATGGGCTTATTTTTTAAATTTTTTATTTTATAGTGGTGTACCATGGCTCAGGAATCACCTAAAAATTCAGCAGCAGAAATTCCAGTGACTAGTAATGGAGAGCTTGATGAATCTCATGAACATGGTTTTAATAAGGTAAGAATATCTTTTCATTCTCTTTCCTTAAATTTTGAGGCGAAAGTACCTCTACATATTTTCTGACATTGCCTAAATTTGTCAAGAAACTAATAAGCCAGCTGTGTGACTGATTTATAAAGATTAAGGTCTCAGGGAGTAAAAAATTAGATGTTGGTGTTATTGTCCATAGTTCTTTTATTGTGGTCAGATAAAGAATGTGTCTGATGGCTTTTACATGTTGTTAAGTATTGTAAAAAGAGCTAGGGCAGTGTGGGGACAGCCAAATCTGACCTCTGCTAACTCCATAAGGGGGAACTGTCCCATCAGTAACCTCCACAGTATAAAACTAGTTCCTATAAGGTTAGACATGGTCCCCCATGCTCCGACACCTACTTCTAGTAATTTCATCAGCAATCTTAACTGCTCTGTTGGGTCCAAAATCCATTACAATAACTAAACAGGCTATATTAATTAAATTAAATTAGCAGGCTATATATAACCCATGTTAGTGGCAGGATACAATCCATCAGTCCTGACAGCTTCTTGAGTATGATTGCAGGCCCTTTGACTTTCAACCTCACAGCTTAGGTCAGTGTTAAGTTCATCGCTTCTTCCCTCAGTTCTCCAGCAGGCTTAGGTGTTAAAGACCTGTTGTTGGTTCTGTGAGGCAGCTGTCCTAAATCAGCCCTCAACATTTAAGATGTCTTTCCTCAGTCCTCTAGTGAGCTTGGGTTTAAGGGCTCTGTCTTTGGTTCTTTGAGGCAGCAGTCCCAAGTCTGTTCTTCCTTCAGCCATCCAGCAAGCAAAACCACTCTGGCTCTGTTTCAGTCTGGAGCCTTTTGCTCTGAGTCCATCTCACTCCATCAACATTAAGATATCTCTGGCACAGGAACCTTTGGCTTCACATGTGCTGCTTTCTCTGCTTCTTTCCATGTGCCCCATGAGGTTCTCAATTTTTGCCACTGAATTTGCTCAGTTTAATAGACTAGCCAGTCCCCTTGTGGATAGGCTAACATACGCTGTAGGGAAAAAATAGCTCATGCTACTGTTGTTGATATAGGGAGGCTACCTGACCACAGGGCAGCTGCATTGAGTTTACTTGCTTGTAGGCCAAACAGAATTGAGGCAGCTAGCTAAATGGTCTAGGGAGGTTATTTGAATCAACAGAAAACTAAAGCAACAGACCCACTACAGCACTACTGCCTCTGACTTCTAGTGACTCTGTGTACAACAGGGCAAAACCCTACCTGACCCTGTGCCATCCTTACAGTCTCTGCTGCAATAAACATCCTTTTTCAGTGGCATTTGATACATGTATACACTTTTAAATAACTTGAAAAATAATTTCAATATTCTTTAAAAAGTAGCAGTTGAAAGGTGTTTGAATTATTATTCAGTTTAGTAGAACTTTTTAAAGAAAACTCTTTATTGTTTATGAGTAAAATTCTTTAACAGAGGTTGTTGATGTATTTTTAAAATGTCATTGAATTTTTGGTTTTTGTTGTTTTTTCAGAAGACTCACCAGTCTTTTGAAAAACATTTGAGACTTGCTTATTTTTAAGGACATTTTCTTAGATGGTGGTACAGCCCACCCTTTGTCTCTGTAGATAAAACCATGATGATTTGCTTTTATGAAGATTGTTGCTGTTTAGTGCAGTCTAGTTGGTTCCAAATCAGAATGACCCTCTGTACAATAGACTGAATATTGCCTGGTCCGGAACCATCCTCACTATTTCTGTTTTGCTTGAGCCCATTGTTGTAGACTGTGTCAGTCCACCTCATTGAGGGTCTTCCTCTTCGTGTCGGCTCCTCTGCTTTACCAAGCATGATATCCTTTTCCAAGGACTGGTCTCTCTGACAACATGCCCAAAGGACATGAGATGAAGTCTGGCTGTCCTTGTTTCTAAAGACCATCTACTTGGACTCCTTCCAAGATACATGTATTCGTTTTTCTGGTAATCCATGGCATATTTAGCACTCTTCGTCAGCCTCATAATTTAAAGGCATCAGTTCTTCATTCATCCTGATTCTTGTCCAGCTTTCACATGCTAGTCCAGCTTTTCACATTGTAATCTAGAAAACCCTGTGGGCTTTCCAGAGTGTCATATGGGTTTGCTTGAGGCGGCATTCTGATGGGGCACGTGGTTTTCTTAGAGTTGGAATGCACTAGATGGCATCTAACAACAGCAACTTTGTTTTTAAAGCATCCATACCAAACAAGGGAACACTGATTAGTTTAAAATCAAGAAAGGTGCACATCAGGGCTGTATCCTTTCTTCATACCTATTCATTTTGTATACTGAGAAAATAATTTGAGAAACTAGGTTTTATGAATAAGAATGTCACATCAATATTGGAGAAAGACTCATCAATACCCTGAATTATGCAGATACTACAACCTTGATTGCTTAGAATGAGGGCCTGGAGTTCCTACTGCAGAAGATTAAGGACTGGAGCCTGCCTTATGAGTTTCATCTTAACATCAAGAAGAAAAGAAATCTCCACCACTGGACCAATAAACAACATCGTGATAAATGGAGAAAAGATAAAAGTTGTCAATGATTTCATCTTATTAGGATCCACAAGGAGTAAACACCCTTGGTACCAACAGTCAGGAGACCTACTGCATTGGGCATGTCTGCTGTCGGGGACCTCTGTAGAGCCCTGCAGAGCAATGATGTCACTTTAAAGACCAAAATGCACCTGATTCAAGCTGTGGTAACTTAGTCATTTGCTTTGCATCGGATATCTAGATAATAAGGATAATAGAAGAATTGATTCTTTTTGAGTTTTGATATTGGAGGAGAATAGTGAATATGCCATGGACAGCTGAAAGAACAAACACAATGTCTTTGAGAAAGTACAGCCAGAGTGCTTCTTACAGGCAAGGGTCACAAAGTTTTGTCTTACATACTTAGAGCATGTTGTTAGGAGGGCTATTCCTTGGAAAAGGACATTATGTGTGCAAACTTGAGGAGTCAGCAGAAGAGAAGATAAACTGGCACAATGACAGCGGTAGGCTGAAGTGTATCAGAGATTATAAGGATGGCGTAGGATGGGACTGGGTGCAGATCTGTTATTCATAAGATCACTGTTAGTCATACTCAATTCAACAGCACCTAAAAAACAATAACATGGACCAATAGGGGTAGCATTGGTAGCCTAAGTAGACTTGCACTGCCAACCCAAAGGCAGGTGGTTTGAATTGACCAGCTGCTCCACAGAAGAAAATTGGGCAGTGTCTTCCTGTGTGATATGCAGCCTCTGAAAACCCACTGCATAGTGAACTGTGAATTAGTTTCAATTCAAGGGCACATCACAAAAATTTCTAGAATGGGTCAACAGGGAACTCTGGTGGCATAGTCTGTAGGTAGTTGTACTGCTAACCCACAGGTGACACCTGTCTAATGATTTGAATCCATCAGCAGATCTAAGGGAGAAAGATGAACAGTCGACTCCTGTGTAATTTACACAGTCCCCAAAGTCCAGTGGAGAGTCAGCTGTGATTCAGTTCTAACTAAATGGCAGTGAGTTTGAGTTGGTGTTTTTGATGGGTCAGTATAAATCCATGGGTGGAACAAAAAGTTAGTGATCATGTGCTAACTTAAAGCATGGCTATTTGGATCAACCCACTGGCTCCACAGAAGAAAGGCCTAGGAATTTGCTTTCATAACGAATATAGCCAAGAAAATCCCTATGAAATAGTTTTACTGGGTAACACATGGGATCTCCATGAGTCAGAATTGATGTGATGACAGTGAGTTTGTGGAGTTGTTTGGTTTTTGTTTGTCTGTTTGTTTTATGGCCTAGATGAAAGAATTTGGCTTCATGTGGGATACCCAAGGTTTGCTTCCTAGCCAGAGGACCCTAGTGTTTCCTAGCCAGAGGACCCTAGTGTATAGTCACGATTATGGAGGCTTATGTGTTGCTTTGATGTTAAACAGACTTCAAAGGTTCCAGAGTAAAACAGACCGGGATGAAAGGCGTGGTGGTATACTTCCAAAAGTCAGCAAATGAAAACCTTATGGATCACAATGATCTAAGCTGCAACCAGTTGATTATGGGGATGGCAAAGGACCATGCAGTTTTTGTTTTGTTGTGTGTGAGTGGCTCTAAAGTAAGAATCCTACTTGAAAGCATGTCCAATGGCCAATATAGAGTGATTCATGAAACAATCTATCTTAATTACTTTAGTAATTTCAGTATGTGAATAAGTATTAGCTCAAACCTTAATACTTCTAGCCTTGTTTTTCTTTTTCAAGACTGCCTTGTCCCTCAGTTGCAAATCTCAAACCTTTAAGTGGCTTTGGAGTTTTTGCTGACTTTTCTCTTAATATCTTTTTAAATTTTAATTGCCTTTAGAATAGAAATATCCTATTACAGATTTTATCAGAATAAAATGAAATAGACCAGAACATATCACAGTCTGGATTCTTAATTTAGTGAAATTTAGTGAATTTAGTGAAATTTGTTGCTTTGTAAGGTTGGGTATTTGTTGGTTAATGTTAAATTTTTTTAATTGGCAATTTTCATACAATATTATTTTGTTTTATACTGAAAGGTACAGAAGGAAAAAGGAAATTTTTATCTTGGAGATCACCTTTATTGGATACAAACATTATTCATGGGAAAAGCTCCTTAGAAGCAGTAATCCAATTCAACCATTGTACCACTTCACCTCCCTATATAATCGAACTTAATTCTTTTGGTTCCCATTCTGACTAAAATATCATGACAGTCATATATGTTTAATGTTCTTTAATAAAAATAAAAATTGGCTTTGTGTTCCTTTTGTTATGAGTGAAATCATTACATCTTTTCTCACTTATCAACTGTCTCATTATCTGACATTCACATTTATAAGTAGTGAAAAATGAATCTATTTTGTTAGGTATAAACATCACTTACCTAACAATAACAAACCCTAGGTAAAAACCAAGAGTTAATACTGGCTTTGATAGTTAAGGTTATATGTTAATTTGTTGGAGTATAGTTCTCAGTGATTTGGCAATTATGTA